AACATGGTGTCGGTTGACACCCTTCATCAACACACATGTGCAGCTCGACACATGTCTATGGTTCCAGTTGCAGTTCTGCAACTACATCCAAAATTTCCTGCGATCAGTAATTCTTTTCCTTCCCATGATCTCAGACCAACACAACAACTATACTCACATCAATATATGAAAATTTCCAACACTCGATTCATCAATTGAATCACTGCAACATTAGTACAATTATCACAGATGCCAAACAATATTGTATCCATACAACAATTACACGCAACAACAATTTCACACAACTCAATTCCCACGTAACATTAATCATATACCCAATTATAGAGTCAGAACCCCACCCTTACCTTGGATTGAAGGTTGCTCTATAATTTTTTGATTGAATTCCGCTTTGCCTCTTTTCTTCTTTTGTTCGGCAACTTCTACGTTATCTTTCTTTCTTCCAACCCTTATTCCTCTTCTTCTTGACAAAACCTATTTTTTCCTTACTGTCACATATAATTTCTATTATTATAACCAAACTCAATAATAACATAATTATTTCTATTGGACTTAATTCTCACACCCTTAGTACTACATACCACCATATAAAATAGGCCCAACAACTTAATCTTATATTATTCCATTAATTTCAACATTATTATTATTATTATTAATCAACTAATTAATTAATTAATAATAATCTAACAACTTATACCAACAATTCTCAACATCTTACAACTTCGACAAATAATTCAAAAATAATTTAATTAAATAATTAATTAAATTATCGGACGTTACAATAACTCTGCTTACAGACAACGAAAGTGTTTTTAAACGAAAATACATTTCTTAATAGAAAAATTATATTCACAGACATCAAATATCTTTGTTAAAACTTCCAGCTTTAGTCTTGCAGGTTTATGAATTTCTGAGATTTTTCGACTTTGAAATTTACCAATAGACTTAAATAACAATAGAGAAACACATAAGTTTTTATTATTAATGTAAATATTAAATTAGAGATAAGTTAAGTAATATTACTATCTGAGATGTGGTGTATATTGAAAAGATAAGTAACAAAATAGCAATAATAAAAGTAAATACATTAAAAAAATGATTTAAAAAAATTGATAACAAGTCATAACCTATTATTATAGGTCAAAATGACAATTTATCCATAATAATCAAAATGTTGTTTAACCATACGCCACCTATATTTATATCTGTATTTTTAATAACATGTATAAATGTCACTCTCCTAACTGTGTAATAGTGAAGATAAGTCTTAACTATTATGGTTGTTTGTTGTTGGTTGTTGGTTGTTGATAATTATGAATACATACACCGGTCAATATCAATCACCCATACACAAAATTCTTGTACACAAGTTTGAAATTTGAGCTTTGTTTATATGAAGAAGCATTCTATCACTGTCATTGTTATTTATTTGAATTGTTCGCAATGTTTAAAAGGGAGAATTCTTACTTGCCAATTACAAAAAAAGGTTAAATAGAATTATCTATAAAATAATTGTATTAAAAATATTTAAAATTTAAATTATTAAATAAATAATTATATAATAAAATGAAATGACAAATAATACTCATTTTTTTATGGATAACATAAATTATAACCTTTTAAAAAAATATTAATTAATTATATTAATTTTAATAATAAAATAATATTTATTTATTAAAATATTTTTATTAATTAGAGTTAGTAGAATAGTCAAATAAGTTGAAATATTCTAATATGAGAAATGTCCATAAGTCTTTGTGTATTAATGATAGAGGTGGAAATATGGCAGGCGACAAGTATCGACGGCCTAATCTATATAATCTATATGATCTATGTTTTTTTATAAATATATTTAATTAAAAAGATTAACTTTTAGGTCATGAAAAAAATTTGTAGGTCTCACAAGCTGGTCTATATAAATAAATATGAATAATTTTTTCCTTATTATTATGTTATGTATTATATTTTAAATCAAAATACATAAATAAAATTTGATTATCTTGAAGAACTTATGAAAATAAGATGAAAATATCTTGTGAACAATGTTATAAGTTATTTTCACAAGTCCTCTTAAATAAATAATCTCACAAAATTTATGTTAATTGGTAAATTAAAATAAATCAATGTAAATAAATTTTTAGTCTCATTAATTTTTTGGTTTGTTAGTCTATTTAAACATTATTAAAATTGTTTATTTACATATATTTAAAATAATAGGATTTTATGTAGACTAACATTCTAACTTTCAGTTTTTTTGATAAACCAGACTTAAATTTAACAAAATTTAATTCGGTTCAACCTATTTTCACCTCTAATTAATGATATATGCTATACTATAAATAGAACTTCTAGGCAAACATTCTCATTACAAAGGAGAGCAAGTGTTTTGATCTCTAATAATATTTTTGTTTTAATTTTTGTAAATTAAGATGAGTAATTTACTCAAGTATGTTGGAGTATTTGCTGTGATATTTGCATTGATGATAGGAACATTTGAATGCCAAAACATAAAAGAAAATTTTGGTGGCCGCAAATTTAGAAGTGCATGTATAGAAGTTGGACCATATGGTGGTTGTCCTCGCCACCCATTCTCACCGCCAAAATTCTGAAGGTGATTCAAAACGAATGAAATTGTTTATTTAAATAGGGATCAACTTTGAAAAGATATGTATTATTATGTTTGTTATTTTTATTAATTTTTAATTACTTTATAATGATCATAGTTTACTTAAAGAGGAGAGAAATATATTAAAAAATTATTATTGTATTTCATAAGGGTGCTATTCTGGGTATCTTTGAGGTATTGAGAAGTGAAAATTATATGAATTTTTAATAAATGTTTTTAGGTTCTTGTATTTTAAATTAGATTTTGGAGTTTGTGTAGTAATCAAATCAATAGTTTTTTTTTTTTCATAAATAAAATCTATGAGATATCAAATATGAACATGAATTAATTTTTAATCTCCGACTCAAAATAAAATTTAAAAAAAAATAGTGAATGACTTAAAGAATATTAGTGCAATAGCATTGGTGCTAGAGAGGATCTATAAAGTCAGTATTGGTAGGTTTATAAATACTAATAGGATTAAGCATTGATCATCAACTTTTTTATTTGTATAGTGACAGAATCAAAAGAGAATTATGCATAGTCATAGTTTGTATTTATTAAAATCACACGCAAAACACCTAACTTCTAGTATTAGTCATAGAATAGAAACTACACTAAATATAAGATTGAATTTTCGTCATGAAGTAAGATTCACATAAATTGTAATTACAATCTCAAAAACAAGAAACCATGACAAAAATGATAAAAATAAAAAGAATTGCGTACTTATTTTTATATTGGTTTGACAACAAATTCTCTCTTGTTATCTATATTCAAATATCTAAAAAAATTGTGTGAATGGTTCGTCTAACCAATCACAAACTCCATTGATGAAGAGTTTGAGCAACTAAAGGAAAGAAGAAGAATAGAGATGAAATGGTAGTTTTATTCATGGTATGGTGAAATTAGTTACAAATAGTTTATATACTACAATCCAATGTAATTGATTTAACAAATTAGAAATTGAGCCAATGTTAATATGACATGTGTCACTGTAAGTTGAACATGTGTTGATCATGTGTATATCTTATCTTCATTATCTGTTACCCCCCCATAAGCTTGTGATTGGTAGATATCTACCAAGGCAAGCTTGGACAAGCAATTGAAAAAAGGCTTGAGACCTAATGCCTTAGTGAAAACATCAGCAGCTTGCATGTGTGAAGCCACAGAAAGAAGTCTCATAAGACCAGCTTGAAGCTTCTCACCAACCAGATGGCAGTTAATGTCCAGATGCTTCGTGCGTTCATGAAAAACTGGGTTAGCTGAAATATCCAAGGATTTTTAAATCTGAAGATTGGGAGGGAAAGATTCCTCGAGCTGGTGTGATCTTTTGAGATATCATAGAAACACACAAAGCAACTTTGTAATGTGTTTCAGTAGGGGCACTCATTAACTGACTGAGTTGTAAAAACAATGTCAGGTCACGTCGTTATCAAGTAGATGAGTCCCCCAACAAGCCTGCGATATGCTGTCACATCAGAAAAAGTTGAACCACAATCATGTGACAAACGTGTAGCAGAGTCCAAAGGAGTAGACACAGGTTTGCAACCAATGAGACCTGCATGTTTCAAAATATCTAGACAATATTTTCTTTGGCATATAGTGATTCCTGTGGAGGAGCGAGCAACCCTAAGCCAAGGAAAAACTTGAGTTGACAAAGATCTTTTATGTGGAAAACTCTGTTCATATCAAGCTTCAAGTCATCAAATACTTGTAAATATGTACCTGCCAAGATAATATCATCCAAATACACAAGAAGTGTTGTGAAAAATGTAGAATCAGTCTTGATGAAGAGAGTATGATCAACATGCGCATGAACAAAGCCTTGCTCTTGAAGAAAATTAGTAAGTTTCTCAAACCACTGTCTACTAGCTTGTTTTAACCCATATAATGACTTTATGATTTTACAAACTTGTCCTGGTTTGGAAGATACAACTCCTTGAGGTATCTTAATGTAAACAGTCTCGTGTAAATCTCCATGGAGAAAGGCATTATTTACATCAAGTTGATGTAAATGCCAACCATGTATGGCTGCTAGAGAAAATAATACCCAGACTGTAGAGTGTTTTAAAACAGGGGAAAAGTCTATAAATAGTCAAGACCTTCAGTTTGGTTAAACCCTTGAACCACCAACTTGGCTTTAAACCTTTCTATAGTGCCATCATCTTTTCTGTTCATCTTGTATACCCATTTGCTTTCAATTAGAGAGACATTTGGGGGGTGGATCCACAAAATCCCAAGTATGATTGCTATGTAGAGCAACAATTTCACTTTCCATAGCTTTGATCCATCTAGGATCTTTAGAATCCATAGAGTAATTAGCAGGCTCAATTTCAGACGTCAATGCTAAAATGTATGCTTGATGGTGAGATGAAATATTGGAACATGAGAGATACTATTGAATAGGATACTGACATGCTGAGGTGATAGTGGAACTACAAACATAGTCCTTTAAATGAGCAGGAGGTGGAGCATTTCTACTAGACTTTCTAATAGCAATAGGAACAGGATTATCTGTTAGAGAATGGTGATCAGAGATTGTAATAGGTGATACAAAGGTATTAGGATCTAGAGACTCAGATTCAGCTAAATCAGGAATTATAGCAGGTGAATTTGAAATAAATGAGTTATTTTGAGAAGTATCTTGAGGAATGTCTTCATTAATTTCAGAAATGCCCATAGAAGTGTCTTCCTTCTCATGAGTAGTATTGATGAAATAATCATGAGAGCTAACATAGATGTTATGAGGGATGTGTTTAGCAGATTTGATATTGGCAGGGAAATTCCATCTCAAAAAATTTAACATTTCTAGAAATAAATATTTCATAGTTAGAAATATCAAGTAGGACATATCCTTTCATACTTGCCTTGTATCCCAAGAAAGCACACTTCATTGCACGAGGATCAAACTTATACTTATTGACAAGTAATGTAGATGCATATCTAAGACACCCAAAAACCTTTAGAGATTCTAGGTCAGGCAAATCACCATACATAAGCTCATAGGAGGATTTATTTTGGAGGAGTTTGGTAGGTATTCTATTCATGAGAAATACTGAATGTTGCACAACATAGGACCAGTATTTCTTTGGCAATCCAAATTGGAACATGAGTGCCCTGCTAATATTCAGAATATGTTGGTGTCTTCTCTCCATTCTACCATTCTGTTGTGGAGTGTAGACACAACTTTTCTGATGCACTATGCCCTTGTAAGCATAGTAAGATGGCATGACAAATTCCAAGCCATTATCACTCCTTAGAATTTTAACTCTTTTCTCAAACTGATTTTCTACCATTAATATGAACTCTTTTATTCTTTGAGATGTTTCAGACTTGGATTTCATCATGATAGTCCAAACATGTCTACTATAGTCATCCAAAATAGTCAAGAAATATCAAAAACCATGCACAAATGGAGTTTTAAAAGGACCCCATATATCTAAATGAATCAGATCAAATACATGGTGTGCATTATTATTACTAATAGGAAATGGTAAAATTTTTTGTCTAAATTGTTGGCATACATCACAAGCACTATGTACACTATCTGAAATGTAGCTATATATCTTTTTCATACATTTCATTCTCTCATATGATAAATGCCACAGTCTTAAGTTCCACAACACTCCAGGTGCCAACTCTTTATTCTTGTGGACAAAGATACTTGAAACATGCCCTGCTGCACTTGTGCTTCCTTCACATGTTTCCAAGTAGTAAATACCATCAATCTCTTTAGCCAAACCAGTCTTATTCAAACTCTTGTTTTCCTGTATCACACATTGACCAGTTTCAAATACAAGCCTACAGTCCTACTATGTACACAACTTTGAAACTAAAATCAAGTTTACTTTAAACTGAGGCAAGAAAAGCACATTGTCTATACTAAGCTCATGGGACAATTTCACACCACCACACACATTGGCAACTATTGAATTACCATTAGGTATATTAACTATTATAGGTGTAATGTCACCATATTTCACATACCAGTTGAGATCATGACAGATATGGTGAGTTTCTTCAGTGTCCATAATCCAGCTAGAATTGTTATGACTATTAAAGCTAGCAAGAAAATGTTTACCTCCTTTTGTTAGATTGACAGAACTTGTGCTCCTCTCAAGAAAGCTCATCAGGTTTTGATACTGCTCTTTTGTCAGATTCATGCTTTCACTTGTAGACGCTACAACAGACTTTCTATCTGACTCATCTGCATCAACCTGATTCACATAGGAATTGGTACCATTACCTCTTCCAAAACTTGGTGGATATCCATGCTTTTTTTAGAAACTGTCAACAATGTGACCTCTATTTCCACAATAAAGTGCATACTTTCACATTTCCTCTTCCTCTTCCTGAATTATGTCCTCCTCTATTACCAGTATTAAAGCTACCTCTGCCTCTACCTTACCAAACTATTTATTTGATTCAGCAACATTCACCATTCTTGTGCCATCTTCAGCTGAACTGTTACCAATGGATATTCCTCCACATATCTTTCTTTCTTGCTGCATCACCATGGAGAATACTTTGTTAATTTGAGGAAGAGGATCCATTAACATGACTTGAGACACTACTCCATGATATTCTTCTTTCAACCCAATCAAGAATTAAATAACTCTATCTTCAGCTCTATATGCACGGCTATCTCTCATAGCTAAGCATGTACAAGTTATTCTATAGGTACAAGTGGGCATAGGTTTGTACTGATCAAATTCCTCCCATATGCTTCTCAATTCAATAAAGTAATCTGAGACTTTGTTATCACCTTGCTTCAAATTGGAAATATCTTGATACAACTGTGCCACTCGTATCCTATCACCTCTCATAAACCTATCTTTAAGATCGTTCCACATATCAATTGCATTATCAATGAAAACAACACTCTGTGCAATTGATGGATTAATGGAATTAATAACCCAAGTGTGTACCATATTATTGCATCTCTGCCATGCTCTATCATTGAGATCACCAACATATGGTACTTCTATGAATCCATCAACAAACGGATACTTGTTCTTCATATCTAATGCTCGTTTCATATTCATTGACTAAGCATGATAGTTTTTCCCTGATAACATTGGTGTTACACACACGGTTGATGAGTTTTCCGATGGATGAACGTAATAAGGATCAAGTGTGTCAACAACTTGATTGTTATTATTTATATTTCTATTGTTATTGTTTCTCACCATGATGATGAAAATCGATCAATCGAACGCAAATTTCAACAAAAAGAATCGAACGCGAAATGAATGAAACAGATTCAAGAAGAATCAGAACAAAAAACATATTCAAGAAGAATCGAAAGAGAATGACAAAAAAGGAAGATAACAGAAGCAAGAAAGAAGATTACAAAAAAGCTACTACTGCCATGGATTAGCAAGTAGAACTTATAGCAAGCAGCGGAAACAGAGCAAGTCGAACCTGCTCTGATACCATCTAAGCAATCACAAACTCCATTAAGAGCTTGAGAAACCAAAGCAAAGAAGAAGAATATATATGAAGATGATAGTTTCATTCATAGTATGTTGAAATCAGTTACAAACAGTTTATATACTAGAAACCATTGTAACTAACTTAACAAACTAGAAATAGAAACAATGCTAATATGATATGTGTCACTGCAAGTTGAACATGTGATGATCATGTGCATATCTTATCCTCATTATCTGTTAGTTCATCCACTATAAATTGATGTAAAAAGTTATAAAAATCTCAAGAGAGTTATTAAAATTTTTAAGAATAACATGTCTTCAATAGAAACCCAAAAAATTAGAAAATTTGAAGAACAAAATCTTCAAATCTTCAAATCTTCAAATCCAAAATACAAAACCCCAATTGAAGAAAACCTTTCTTCAATTGAGAAAACCAATGTAAAGTTTTCTTTTAAAATATGTTGTATTTATACAAATTTAAAATCAATTTTTCTTAGAAAATCATGTCTCACCCGCAAGATGTGAATCAAGGGTTGGGAAGGACATGAAGTAGTTGCGCAAATGCATGAGGCACTTATCTCGAACTTTATCCCATACTTAAGCATTTTTCTACCATTTGCAAGATATATGTGATTTTTAAGAAAGACAAGTATAAAGAGGAAAGAGATGAATTTTTAGGTTTATAACCCTAGGAGTTTGAATTATCTTTGGTTGTATGGATGGTATAATTTTCTCCAATAAAACAAGAAAGATATATTTGTGGTTCTAGGATCTATACCACTTATGACATGAGTTATTTCAAGCTAAGATGATTTGTAAGATTAATGACTACAAGACAAAAAGTTGTTTTTGATTGTTTGTAAGCACCACGTGCTTAATATTTTCTCCTTGCTATTCTTATTGATGGTCTAGGCCAACATATATCCTCGATAGAGTACCGTACTATCATTAAATACTACAAGATGTGCTTGGATACATTTGGGAAACACACTATTCATTGCAAAGAGCTTTCAAGATTTAAATATAAACATGTCTTTGTTAGGGATGTCCTATTTAACAAATGTAGGCGTGCATGGGTATCTGTGAAGAAAGAGACACATGTAAATTTCTTGACTGACTCACATGATAGGAGATCGACTCTTAGGTCAGAAGATGTTATAGTGTATGGATGGGTAGGAGGTGAATATGCATGTGTAGATTTGACTTGGGTTTCCCCACTAGCGGGACTGGGGTCTGGAGGTTTTACTATGGGACATGTGTCATACCCCAAATTTGTCCTACCCTTTTAATTTTATCTGATTTAGGCTTGGCATTTCATTTGCATCATTTTTGCTAGGTCATTTGCATATCATTCCTTCATTCAATAAGGTTTGCATCAAGAGCATCAAGTGTGTTGTCTCAGCTAGGGTTTTAGATCCCTCAAATGCCCAGTGTGGTTAATCATTGATTCTCTAAGGTTACTTCATAAAAGCATAGCCTCTAATCTCAAAGCACAGATAATATTTCATCATCAACTGGACCATATGTGCATCAATATGTCTTGGAATTCAAGGAAAGATTGAGTTTGTAAATTGATTCAAAGCACATTGACAAAAAAGTAAACATTTTCAAGATCAAGTTTAGAAGATCATAAATTATTCGATATTCAACATTTTTGAGTGATTCTTTGGGAATTTGGTTCCTTTTGACGTCCTCTCCATCTTATCTTTACAAGTCAATGGCTAATTATGTGTGTAAGATCGTCAAAATTTCAAATACTTTAGAGGTCACTTTGTAGACTTTGACCTAAACTCAAGTAACTACTGTATGACTTTCAAGGATCGTAACTTCCTCAATTTTAAACATCTTGAGACAATTCTTTTTGCATATTGTTATGAGGAATGCCACTTACAAGTTTTCTTTAAGGGTCAAAGTCAGATTGTTCTTAGTAGGCCATGGAGTTTTTTGAAAACATTATGGGTCATTTTGTGACTTAGAATGATTTTAATCTCTAATTTCAAGCCATGCTATGATGGTTTACTCAAGACATTGATTCTTATGATTGAATTTAAGCCCGTTCGTCAAGCTTGCAAGGTTGGAAAGGAAAAGACACTTGGATTTCTTGAGATTCAAATAACAAGACATTCAAATTTTAATTCAAGCTCATTCAAAAGTCAAAATTCATTTAAATCCATTCATGTGGATTATCTTGAATTTAAATACCAAGGGCTTTAAATATCATTAAAATTTGCAACAAGTATGCATCAAGTTCAAATCCAATGCATTCATATGAGGTCTAAATTCACCCATGGCAAGATCGAAGGAAAGAGTTGGATACCATTTTAACATTACAAAATCAAGAAGAATACTTGGAATTTCAAAAGTGAAAATCGAAGAAAAAAAAGCCTTGTTACAAATGTAAAGCAAAAGAAAGAAGCATGTTTTAATTCAAATTATGTTACCAAGATTCAAATTCCATTCTAAGCAACCATTACAAATATTATTACATTCAAGCTTCATGTTCATTGAAAGATTCAAATGCAAAACATTAAATGAAATTTCCTAAAGTCCTAAAGCCTATGCTAAACTATCCTAAGCTTCATTTTGCTTCATGTAATTCTAAAACCTTCTTGTTCCCTTAACACCAAATTTGTCCACATGAAAAGTTAAAAAAATAGATTTCCAAATATGGCCATACCAGTCCAAACTTGTTGTCCAAAACTTCCAAACAACCTGCATAAAAACATGCTTTTGATGTCCATAAAACTTCAAATATAACAGTCCCATACGCTGCTACAAATCAGACCTGTTGCTCTACATCAAATTTGCATAAAAATGGTTAAGACACTAACCTATCCCAAAAGTGATAAAACAAAGTATCATATTTGTTCAAATTTATCAAAACTTTTCCCTCCCAAATTTCAGACTATTTCAACTATAAATAAGCAGCTTCATATCAAAATAATCACACAAAAAATCCACACAAAAACCATACCATAACTCTGCTCAAATCCTCACATAAGAAATCATTAATTTACTCTCCAACCTCTTCTCATACATAGCAAACTCACTCAATCAGTTTTGATGCAAACCACATAAAACACAAAAAAAAATGTAAATAAGTTGAAGAAAAATCACATAGAAAATTTCATAGAACAAAAGAAAGAAACCATACCTTAACAAACAATCCAGTGAAAGCCTCCTCGACGTAGGTATTTCGTTTTTTCTCGTTTCTTTTTTTTCGCTGTCTCCGATATTTCTTTTGAATTTTGCTGTGAACATGTGATTAATGTGATTGTTCTCATACTAGTTTTTTACGATTTGTTTCGATTGACGTCAGATGAGAAACAAAGAGTTTAGGAATAAAAAGAGCTCAATTTGTTGTTGTTGATTCACGACCAGAAGCAGAGTTAAGGCATTGTTGTTGTTGTTTATACAGATTAAGAAGAAGCATATAAGAATCAGTTGTTGTTATTGGTATTATTGGAGGAGAAGAATAAAGCTGAGTGTTGCTCTATTTTACGAATAGGGAAAGATGAGGACATTTTTCATGAGTTCAAGAAATTTAAAAGGCTCAGAGGGGTTGACAAAAGGTGGCAGAGGGTTGTATTATATTTTTGGGAGGAAACTTCAGGCGAATATTAAGCCCATGGATACAAGTTATGTCTTCTCAGTAAATAAATTAAAATTCCGAATCAACTTTGTCTAGAAACAAGGAAGCTATAAGTAATGCAACTAGGAATCTCATGGAGAGTTTGATCCTGGCTCAGGATGAATGCTGGAGGCATTCCTTACACATGCAAGTCGGGCAGGAATTGGTGTTTCCAGTGGCTGATGGGTGAGTGGCGCGTAAGAACTTGTCCTTAGGAGGGGGATAACAGTTGGAAACGACTGCTAATACCTCGTAGGCTGAGGAGCGAAAGGAGGAATCTGCCCCAGGAGGGGCTTGCGTTTGGTTACATAGTTGATGGGGTAATAACTTACTAAGGCGATGATCAATAGCTGGTGCGAGAGGATGATCAGCCACACTAGGACTGAGAAAAGGCCCAGACTCCTACGTGAGTCAGAAATGGGGAATTTTCTACAATGGGCAAAAGCCTGATGAAGCAATGATACATGGAGGTAGAAGAACTATGAGTGATGAAAACATTTTAAGTTATATTTTCCCCTTATAAACTCAATCTTAAGTCCATTAATTGCATGACAACATTAGGGTTTTAGCTTCCCTTAGACTTTTCTTTTGCATTACATCCTTTCTATCTAAAACTAAAATTCATTTCCTTAATTAAAAACCTAAAAACATTTAATAATTGAGATGTGAGTTGTATGTCATTTAGACTTAAGCAATAGAAGAGAATGATGCAATGTATTCTAACATTGCACTTATTTTCTATTCATAGACTTTTGTGGAACTCAAATCACAAAAATTTCTCCTAACAAAAATACAAATCAAGTCAAATTTTTTTTACCACTTGGATTTTCTATTTAACCTTTTCAAAAGGACTTGTTATTTCCATTCTACCACGACACAAGCCGTGCCTATTGCTAGAACGTGAACATTAACATTGTCCACTAAAATACACCAACAGACCAACATTTTTTAGAGGAACTGGGGTTTTTTTATTCCCTGTTGCGATACGTAGGCACGGTGTTGCGAGACCCTCACGAACTCAATAATAAAAAACTCTTTCTTTTTACTTATAAATTAATTCATGCATTTCCCTTAGGAATTATAGTTTTAGATAGACACACCCTTAGAAACAGACAATCAAAGTGATGCGAGGGATGCTATTACCTTCACCTTGCATAATCGATTTTCGTACCCTTTCTCTTGATCGTAAGACCACCTTATCTTTCCTTTTTGGGGTTTTCTCTATATTTTCCCTTCCTTTGGGATAAATAAAGTTCGGTGGCGACTCTATGTTTTTCTACCAGTTTCTTTAACATGTAGCTCTCAATGCTGCTTCAAGCAAAATGGCCAAGCATGAGAAAGCATGTTCGGATAATCAACATGCTTTTATACCATTTTCCTTTGAAACTTTTGGTTTTCTAGCACTAGAAGCGGTGGATCTTTTACAGAGAGTGAAAAGGTTCATGCATAGAAATATTGTGTCACCTAGGACTATGAATAGAGTTTCTAAGAGGATTGATTTTGCCATCCAAAAAGGAGTAGGGGCGCAGGTTGTTACTCGTTTGCCTGCTATTTATGTATAATCATTTACTAAATATAATTATGAATTAAAATGAAAGATGGAACAACACATATTGTGGCCATTTCTTAATTGGTGTTGTATTGGAGAATGTTCACATGCATGTGTAGTTCAAGAACTAAGAAACTTAGGACAAAAAGGTTTTTTAAAGAAAGAAATATGATGATTTTTCTAGGATAAAACTATTCTAATTCCAACAAACTGATGAAAAAAGAAGAAATGCAATTTATCAATGAATGTTGAATAGAAAGAAGAATTTCAAAAAGGAAAGGTGTTGCTTAATCGATTATGTTGCGGAAACAAAATACATTCCAAGTCAAGCATAAATATTCAACCATAACATAGCCCTGATTGGGC